AAAAAGGCGTTAATAACCAACCGGGCACGGACCTTTCGGAAATATGCCGGCAAATTACCGGTATTGCGGCCAAAGCATAATAGCGAAGTTAAAAAATAAAATAAAGTTTAAATTGCACGAAAGCGCTTGGAACGCGAAAGATTTAAAAGACCGACCCCGGGTGCCCGAAGGGGACGAAGGAAAAGGAGGTTAAAAAAGGAACAATTTTTGTTAGCGATAGCACTTTTGGTAAAAAATTTACGGAAGCTTAACAAAGGAAATACCGTATCCGGCCCGTAACCCGGTAACCACCCGCCTTTGCACCGATTAACCCCTAACAGTTTTGGAAAAGCCTTTGTATAACGATAATTTCCTTTCCAAATTTTATAAGCGCTAAAAGCTTTGCTTTTGTAATAAACGTTGTAACGGTAATTTATTTTTTTAATTTTTACGCTACGGGCTTTTTAAATAAAAACATAACGTATTTTTTAAATAACCTTTTCGTTTTTTTATCGTTAGCAAAAAAAGCGTTTAAAACAAAAAGTAAATGGTTGGATTTTAAAACGTTTTTTAACCGAATGCAATAAAATTTTAACCCTTTTAAATACAAAAAGGTATGGTTTGCCGCTTTTAAGTACTTTTTATTTGGGTTTGTAAAATATTTAAAAAGTTTTGCGCTTGCAAAAGCAACGTTTAAACGGATAGTAATAACCGTATAAAGTATAAACCCAACTTTTTTTTGTATGGCTAGGATTTCGGCGGGTATTACTACCCCCAAATTTTTTTTAAACGTTTAATTAAGCAAAAAAAAAACGCTTTACGCTTTTGTTTTTAAAATTAAAAGTATTAACAATTTTGTTAATGTAAAAATCGTAATGCAAAGTTATTATTTATACTTTTTTATCCTTTACGATTTAAATTTTAAGAAAAATTTTAAATGGTTTTTTTTTTATTTTGTACTTTTTTTTAAAACCGTTTAACATTTTCGCTGCTATTTTTAAATGCGTAGCATGGTTAAAAATAATTATATCGTTAACGTATAAAAAAAAAACCTTACGTTTTATACTTATAAATAAATAAGGCTTTTCCGTTAACGGGGTAAGCTTTAGCTTTTTAAAGGTTTTTTTAAAAGTTAAATATTATAATTTCGGTAAATTTCGTAGCCCGTACAAAGCTTTTTTAAACCAAATTACAAACCTTTTTCGGTAATACCTAAAAAAAAACTTTACGTAAACGGATATATAATTATTGCTAATTTTTGCGTAAAAAAAAGCATTACTAACGTTAATTTAATGCGTTTCGAAATCGAAATAAGTTATAATTGCTATTATAATTTTAAAGCTTTTAATTGCAAGCGTAACAACGTAAATTTTTTCCAAACCGTTAAATTATTAATTATTTTTAATTACCGCGCGAAATTTATAATCCGTAACGTAACCGTTTTTGTTAAATTTATAAATAAATACCCAAGCAATATCGATAATTTTATTACCAAATAAATTTTTCGAAATTTTTTTTAAATTTTTTTTTAATAATTTATTAAATTTTTTTTAATAATTTATTAAATTTTCCGAAAATAAATTATTTAAATTTTTTTTTATGCGGATGCGTATTAAGCTTTTATTAAAATTTCGAAATTTATTATAATTCGTTTTAATGCAACCGTTTATTTTTTTAAAAATTATTGCATTTCGATATTTTCGTTACGGCAATTGCAATTATTTTATAAACCGGGCAATAGCCAAAATTATTTTTTTTAATTGCCGTTTATTAATTAAGCAAATACGTATCGAAAAAAGTTTGTTAACTTTCGTTTATTAAATTTGCTTTAAAAGCAACGTTTTTAATTTCCGGTTCGAAAGCGTTAAACGCTATTACTAAACCGTAATAAAAAATAGCGTTGTTAAAATTATTGCGTTATTTTGTTTTTTTTTTTTTTTTTTTTCCTTTTTTTTTGCGGCCGTACGCGTTACGGCGCAAATTGCTTTAAACGTAATTATCGGCAAATCCGGTAAAAGCGCGTTAAAGGAAAAAGCTTTAAGCGAAAGCGAAAGGCCCGTTTTTTTGCAAAATTAGCTTTTGCTTTTTTTTAACCGGAAAAGGAAAGGAAAGCGGCGCTTTTTGCTCGTTTAAATTTGCTTTAAACAAACTTTTAAAAGCTTTAAACGCTTTTGGTATTGCAATTAAAGGCGCCGCAAAAGTGCCGCTTGTAATTGCAATTAGCATATCCGGTTTTAAAGTAAGCAAAAACCGGTTTGTTGCTTTATAAAATAAAGCTAGCTTTAACGGTTTTAAAAATTATTTTTCGGGTTTGTCGTTATTTTTACCCCTTACCGGCGGAAAGTTATTGCTTTTCCCGGGCCGTATAAAGCCGTAATACAAATTGCCCATACGTAAAAAACCCGTATTACGCATTTGCTTTACTTTATAGCCATTTTTTAAAACATTTGGAATTAAAAATTTATGCGCGTTTGGATTCGGCCCGTTGGCCGAATCCTTTGCGGTTTTAACTTTTATAATTACGATAAAACCTGGCTTTTTTACCCCCAATTTTTAATTTTAATGCTTAATAACAAAAATGGATGCTTAAAGCTTTTTCGGTTAAAAAAGCTTTAGCGCATTAGCAATTCCTTTTCGGGTTGTAAACGGGTTTTCCGTTTCGTTGTATTTAATTAGCAAATTATAAATAGCTACGTTAATCGGGTCCTTTTTTTATTTGCTTTTAAAAAAGCTTTTTTTATTAAATTTAACGTTTTTTGTAATTATTACTTTTTTTTTTAACGGGACCTAAATTCGGTAAATGTTAGAAATTTAATAACTTATTAAATATTTAATCCCGGTACGAAAGTTAACTTTAAAATGCTTAAAATCCGCGTTATAAAACCTTTTTACGTTTAAAAAATAAGCTTTGCACCCGTAAGCGTAAATGCCGTTCCAATCCGGTTTTAAATCGGTTATTAAACCCGTAAAAAGCTTTAAAGCGTAATGCTGGAATTACCTTTAAAATTAATTTAAAAGGATATTGTTAAAAGCGCGCATGCTTTTTAACAGTAAAAAATTTATATTTTTTAGCCAAACGGCAGCGTAAACCGCTTTCGGCTATAAAT